GCACGCATGCCAGGTGAGCACGCTACCGCTTGAGCCACATCCCCAGCCCCTATATATGTATATATTTTAATGGTACCGGGGATTGAACCTCTGCTTAACCTCTGAGCCACATCTCCAGTCATTTTTTTGTATTTTATTTAGAGACAGAGTTTGAACTTGCCATTCTCTTACCTCAGCCTCCCAAACTGCTGGGATCATGCCCTGCTATCCTCAGCCCTTTATTTAATTTTTTTTTTTTGTACTGGGGATTGAATCTAGGGGTGCTTTACCACTGAGCTATATTCCCAGTCCTTTTTAGTTTTGAAACAAGTACTCACTAAATTGCTGAGGATGGCCTTGAACTTGCAATACTCCTGCCTCAGGTTCCTGAGTTGCTGGGATTATAGGCCTATGCCACTGTGCCTGGCTTATGTTTTTGTTTTTAGGGTAAAAAGAATATGTGCATATAGAGAAAAGCTTTTTTTTTTTTTTCCCATCAGTACTAGTGATTGAATGCAAAGGTGGCACATGTTAGCCAAGCACTTTACCATTGAGCTACTTTCCCAGCCCAAGACAAGAAAAGGTTTGATGTCGTTTCTGCTAACATGTTTCCTTGATATTTTCTGTTAACCTGAATTACTGCTTCCCTGACACTTAAACTCCCACCCCATAGCAAATGCACTATTGGGTCCCTTGGCCAGCATGAAATTACGCTTAAATTAGCACTTTTTGATCATTTTCTGGCATAGAAAAGTTGCCCAATATATTAAGGCTTAAAGAGAAGATGAAAGAATTTTTTGTTTTGTTTTGTTTATTTTGTTGCTGTTTTTTAAATTTTATTTTAGTTATTGATGGATTTTTATTTTATTTATTGATATGCGGTGCTGAGAATCGAACCCAGTGCACACATGCTAGGCAAGCATTCTACCACTGAGCCACGACCCCAGCCCATGAAAGAATTTTTGAGAAAGAGAAATATACAAATAGTATAGGCACCTTTTGGATATAGCAGAGAGACAAGAATAGTGCCTATACCGCTGGCAAAAAAACACGTCACTGCTGTTTGTGGCAGCTGGGAGCCAGCTGCTGAGGATTGGTCTTGGTTTTTCTGATGTGAGGACCCATCATCCATCCCAACTGTTTATTACTAACAAAACACACCGTCTCCCTGGGAGCTCTCCCAGAACAGATCCAAAACTAACTGGAACATATCACACTTTTTACTGATTCCCTTAAATGTAAACCAATAAGTATGAGATAAGACTAAGGGAGAACAAGATAAAAGGAGATGAGCGAGGCCTGGCACTTTCATACCCAATGTTTTTACTGATGTTGGGGAGGTGTCTTCCTTTACACCTGGAGACCCTCCCCCACCCTGGGAACCCTTCCCCACTCCCTTAGGAGTAGTGACCACCTTCCCTAACATTCCACATTGCATTAGAAACTACCTATGTTTCCCTTGCTACACGGTGAGCTTTTCAACGGAAGGGACTGGGCTTCATTCATCCTTATTGAGTCCCTAGCCAGGAGCTGGCTCACGGCAAGTAATCACACTTTATTAAACAAATGCCTGGATGGAAGATTATGATAGAGCACTGTGAGATTCTAGCTGCTGATGCAGTTGCATCCTGATGAGGTTTTTTTTTTTTTTGTGTGTGTGTGTGTTTGTTTTTTTCCCTGGGCCAAAGGAGTTTGCTTTTAACCTCACTATGCCATAATTTAAGGACTCTTTCTCAGTGGCAGAAAGTACACAATGAAACAGTGTGCCTCTCAGCAAATAGAGTGAGCAATGGAAAATTGGAGCAAAGGATCAACCCTGAATGCAAGCAATGGCATGCTAACTGCAATTAATTACAAATAAAGAGAAACTGCTTGTTTTCAATGAAATGGCGTGAAATGCTCTGGAAAGGATTATTCTGTTTCATGTCGGTCTGCACTAGTAAACCTAGTGCAGGAGGAGGCTCAGGATGCCCCCTGTTGGATTTAGCTGATATTTGGTAAGAAGAGGTATAGTGAGAGAAAGATGGATGCAGACATTTCTTCAACATAGCTAAGCAAGGGTAGGGCCCTTTCACCAAAAAAAAAAAAAAAAAAAAAAAAAAAATGTTGTTAAGGAGGCATTAAATGAGTCAAAGGTATAGTCATTAGACTATCCCTGGAACATAGCTTGACTCATCCACAATACTGACCTTCCTTTTTGAAGAACTAGAATAGAAATGCTTTCCTGACAGGAGAGCCAGAATGGTATGAACTTAATAACTTTTAGCAAGCATGTAAACACACAAACACACACACACAGAATCAACCACTAAAATACCTCTTTGGGGGCTGGGGTTGTGGCTCAGTAGTGGAGTGCTTGCCTAGCATGTGTGAGGTACTGGGTTCTATCCTGAGCATCACATAAAAATAAATAAAATAAAGGCATAAAGAAAAGTTTAAAAAATACCTCCCCACACCAGGGAGGTTTCACTTGTAATCTGTGAATGTCCATTTATAGGAAACCAGTTAAATAACTATAGTACATCCATCCATTGGAAAACAGGCAATTCTACATGGAATAATCTCTAATATATATTAATAGCTAAGATATTATGAGTAACTGAAAAAAAAATGAAGAAATTTTCTGTAAAAGATTCCACAAGAAAATGGTGACAATGGTTTCCTAGGAAGGAAATAAACAAGTTGCTGGAGTGGGAGTAGAAATAAAACTTCACAATGTATTTCTTCCTGTCCTATATGCAATCGTATCTTGCAAATCACCTGTCAAATAATCTAATCAGTATAGGAACATTAGGAAGGTTCAATAAAGCCCTCTGCTGTCACTCTTTCCTCAAAGTTTTATCAGTCCACAATAGAAGGAATTTAAATTGTGATAATACATTTCTCTTAAAAAAATTTTTTTTGAGAACAAAATAACAAGATCAATTAGAGTAATAGAAAGAAAGCAGAGCTCCCAAAAGAAAAGGGGTCCCTCAAACCGAGGGATACCCCATTTCTCTTAAATTCTTAAACAAATGGGTACTATGACAGTTCTGGCAGCCATCTAGTCATATAATACATAATTATTTTATACCACCTCACTGTACTTGAACTTCAAATGAGAAAGCCACTTGTTGCTGAGGAAACAATTGTTAAGTGTTGGGGAAAGTATTTTACTCAGTAGTTTTTTAAATACTATCCCAGACACAGAGCTCCTTTCTGGGATTGGGGTGTTCTTTGACTAGATTGATGACCCCTAGGGTCCCCACAAAGCAGTTTTTCACTCTTCCTAATGATAATGGATGCCAGGCTAGGAGTGACCTTTTGCTGAGTCCATTATCCATCCAGCTGGAGAAACCCAAGCCTGGTTTCCTAAGCAGGGAAAAGGTTTTCAGCATTTCTGTGGAAAAGGGAGCTGAAGCCATTCCAGGGATTCAGTGTGACCACGCTGTGCTGAAGGGCCAAAAGCAGCAGGAGGGCAGCCTCTATCTGGACCTCTTTGCTAAGGACCTTTCTTGGGCCTGTTTAGAACTACCTGCTCCATTCTCCCAGCATGGATGAAACTAGGCTTCAGGTATTCCTCAGGCCAGCAGGTTGAGGGGAGTGGCCATGGTTGCCAGTTTCCCAGTCCTAATAAAGGATTCAGAGTGCTAAGGCATAAAGAACAAAGGAGCAGGAGTCTAGAGACCAGGGTTCAAGGGCTAATGCCAAGGATGGAGGTATGGCTCAGTGATAGAGTGCTTCCCTAGCATCCTTAAAGCCCTGTTCCATTCTCCAGACCACACAAACATACACTCACTCTCTCACACACACCCCAAACAAACAACAACAAAACACCTCTACCAAGTGCTAATGCAAACTTGCAAGAGATCTCTACTAAGGCACCTCTCTTCTCTTGGCTCTCTTTTTTCCTATCGAATGGGAGGTGGGATTAGATTATCACTCCCAATTATTTACCGGGTCTCTGGGATCTAGAGAAATCAATAGACTTCTAGATCTTGCTCTCTGAGGTTGGTGTCTGCTAGATCTCTGGCAGAAAGGGACATAGGGAAAGGTGATTTTGGTGAGAGGTAAAAGGCTTTAAAAGACTTTCCTGTTTTATTGCTCTGTGTGTGTGTATGTTTTCCTGGGAATCAAATCCAGGGCCTTACACATGCTAGGCAAGTGCTCCATCGCTAAGCTATACCTCTAGTCTTTTATTGTCCATCTTAATCCTATACTACTAGGACAATTCTAAGAATCTAGGGGAGTTCTGCAGAACTTCCCTACTATGGAGACCTTATTTCTCTCTTCCCTCTTTTTGAAAAGGCAAGGATCCTTTCACTCTTAAAAATTAGGTACAGGCGCTGGGGTTGTGGCTCAGTGGTAGAACGATCGCCTAGCATGTGTAAGGCCCTGGGTGAGGCACTGGGTTCGATTTTCAGCACCACATATAAATAAATAAAAATAAAATAAAGGTCTATCGACAACTAAATATATATAAACTAGGATTGGGGTTGTGGTTCAGCGGTTGAGCGCTCGCCCAGCACCGGCGAGGCCCTGGATTTGATCCTCCGCACCACATAAAAATAAATAAATTAATTAAAGATATTTTATCCAACTACAACTAAAAAATAAAAATTTAAAAATTAATAAACATACACATATAAACTAGCCACAGGAAAACACAGTAGTATGTGTATACATAACTCCAGGATCTCAGGGTCCACCTGACTTCCAGCTCTAGATCTCAAAAGTGTGAAGTGGATATTTGCTGTTGAGGTGGGGGGAAAAAAAAAGCCAGAGGAAAAGTAGAGCACACTCTCAGGACCTGATTCTTTTCTCCAGCTCACATTCACATTCCTCCGCCCCAGTCCCGCTCCCGCCGCCTCTGTTGCCAGCGGGGGCCCTAGTCTCCCGCTCCAACTATTCCAACCATCCTGGGCAGGGTGGGGCACTTGGCTCTTGGGTCCCCCTCCGCCATCCCCCCTCCCCACATCGGTCTCCCCTTCTGCCCCGTCCCTCCCTTTCTGGGGTGGGGCCAGCCAATGGGCGACTCCAGGGTTTGGCCTGCAAGCGGGCAGTGCGCGGATCCCCCGCCCCACAGTTCTGGCCGTGGTCCCGGTGCGCACGGACGTGGCTCGAGTTTCCCCTGCTCTCCACTCTCGTTCTCTTTCCCCTCTCCGGCTCTTCCTTCTCTCCCGCTCTCCCGCTGCAGCTTGACCCGGCCGGCACCTCACGGCTCCTGGTAGCCATGGAGGACATCACGCTCCAGATCGTCGAGCGGCCGTTTTCCAGTTTCCCCGACGCCTCCGAGGCCGCGGAGCCCTCATCCGTAGGGGCGCCGGCAACTGAGGAGCGGTCGGGAGCCGGCTCTGAAGAGCTGATCAAGTCAGACCAGGTGAACGGCGTACTGGTGCTGAGCCTTCTGGACAAAATCATCGGTGCGGTCGACCAGATCCAGCTGACCCAAGCCCAGCTGGAGGAGCGGCAGGCGGAGATGGAAGGCGCGGTGCAGAGCATCCAGGGTGAGCTGAGCAAGTTGGGTAAGGCACATGCCACCACGAGTAACACTGTGAGCAAGTTGCTGGAGAAGGTGCGCAAGGTCAGCGTCAACGTGAAGACGGTGCGTGGCAGCCTGGAGCGCCAGGCCGGCCAGATTAAGAAGCTGGAGGTCAACGAGGCCGAACTGCTGCGGCGCCGCAACTTTAAAGTCATGATCTACCAGGTGAGCCCGCGAGGCGGACCGCGCCCAGAACTTCCCCACCCAGCCCATGTCTCCGGTCCTAGGTTTGGGGTAGGGAGACCGGTACGCGGCGCGGCTCTGCAGCCAGCCTGATCCCGGAGCTCAGGAGATCCACCCTTCTTCCGGCGATCCCGGCTGGTGGGGGGAGGGGTGCAAACTCTTAGGGCGCTCTGAGGGGCGCGCTCTGCACCCAGTGCCTCCCTTCCAGGCCCCTCCCTCTGGGCTCCAACTTGCAGCGGAAATGTTTGAGGGCCGGACTCCGGAACGCCGTCCCTGGCAGAGTGCTCCCAACTGACTCTGTCAAACGTCATCCTACTTGGGGAAAGTTGCGGGGAACGTCAGGGGTCCCTGGCGGCCGTTGGGGCCCCGCTGTAAGTGGACACTGGTGGCGGGGCCTGGGTCTAGGGCCTCCGGCGCTGCGGGCCCGATATAGCGGGTGATTCAGGGCTCAGGCACGCACCGGCAGGGGCTGCGCCAGGCGAGGGATGCAGCCGCCAGCCCCCCTCACAGTTCCCCGCGCCCCCGCATCAGCTTCCGCTGCCCACTCCACCCTGATCCACTCACTACGATCTGCTCCTAGCTCCAGAGACTTTTCAGGGCCTTGGGGACACCCTAGCCTGAGGCATGCGGGCGCCCTTGGCCTCCTGAAAACAAGTGGGGCGGGGTTGAGTGGGCGTTTGGAGTGCTAGAGGGGCTGATGGTGGCGGCGGGTGGACTGACCCTCCACCCGCCTCCGCAGAGTCCTTGGGTCTGGGCGCGATGAATCACCCCGCACGCCTGTGGGGGCTGCAGCTAGGAGCGGCAGAAGAGCGGGCGGGAGGTGCCCTCTTGTTGCTTCCTTTACATTTCTCTCCATTCCTCCTTCCTGGGTATAAATGTAGTTTTTGCATCATAATCCCAAATAAAACTGGGGATCTCAGTGTTGCCGCTCCTTTCCATGCCCTCTCCCCAACCCCATTAGAGGTGAGTCTGAGCTAAGGACTTTTAGATCTTGGGCTGGCAGGAATGTGCCCAGGCAGGAGTCCCACAGCCTGGTGGATGCTCCTACCCCAAGCAGTCAGGATCATGGAGGCTGTAGGGGTTAGTTTATGCTCTCTCTTCCCCCATTCTTTTTCTGACCAAGAGAAATGAAAAGGAAGGCTAGAGGGGAGGTGAAGGCCTTGGCTTTGTCTCTCTAGGGACAATTAGATATGCAGACTGGGAGTAGATTTGAGGAGAACAGAGAAACTGAGATGGTATGCCAGCATCTCTCTGAGGATGTGGTGGTGGGACAGAAGCAAACATGGCACTGGTCCCCTTCCACTGGCTCTCTTAAGAGCATTTTCTTGGCTTTTTTCCCCCCTTTTGTAGTGGGGATTGAACTCAGGGGTACCAGACTACTGAACCACATCCTCAGCCCTATTTTGTATTTTATTTAGAGACAGGGTCTTGCTGAGTTGCTTAGCACCTCGCTTTTGCTGAGGCTGGCTTTGAGCTTTGAATTCGGGATCCTCCTGTCTCAGCCTCCCAAGCCACTGGGATTACAGTCGTGTGGGCTTTTTTTGGCTTTTGAAAAGTGTTGCTCCTCCAGTTACAGGATTGTCTGGTAGAAAAGTGTTTTCCTAGAACTATTGCCACTTAATCTAACTGCTTGGGGGCAGTGGGGTGGGGAGGGGGTTGTGAGGGTTCTTTTTTGTTGTTGTTGTTGTTGTTTTGAGACCTGACTAGCCCTGGGTGGCATCTAGGAAAGGGGAACAAGGGGTCTGGGGCAGAAAACCAGCTAAATTGCTGAGTCTGGCTTTGAACTTGTGATCCCCTTGCCTCAGCCTCCAAGGTTGCTGGGATTACAGGCATGTGCCACCACACCCAGCCAGCTTTATCTTTTCTCCAGAGCCTAGTATGGTAGAGAGTTGCCATGAAGAGCTTGGATGGGTGACATTCTGACTCCAAATGTCCCAGACTGTGGAATCTGGGAAAGTTCTATGCTAAAGATGGAGAGTCTGAGAGAAAAAGACAGGTATGGAGGTATAGAAGGAGGAAGACTTCTGTACAGAAGCCAGGGGCCTCCCTTGAAATGCTCTTCCTGGCATTTAGCATGATCCATGATAGTGTGTGTGTGTGTGTGGGGGGGGGGGTTTCCTGTCACAGTGTGGCTTTGACTGCATCTGTATTAAGCCAGGACCAGTGGAGGCAAAGATTTGAGGCAGAACTTGGGTTGTTGGCTTAGGTTGAGCCCCAAACCCACATGGATAACTAAGAACAAAATGTTCCCAACCCTGGGAGAAGCTCTGAGGTGTGGAAAAAATTCCAGGAACAGGGGTGGGTCTCCGGATGTAAAATTTCTCTGAGCTATGGCAAGGCTGTCCCAGGTGGGGGTGAAGGGGTGGGGCCTCCACTGCTGGAGGAAAGCCGAGGCCTCTCCTCCCAGGTCTGTGGAGGTCTGTGGCCTGAGAAGAGAATGTAGTAAAAATAGTTGTGTGTCTTGGCAGACCTAATAGGGAAGGCTGGGGGCAGCAGTGTTTATGGGAAAGTCAGGCTGAGGAGATATGATTGCTTGGGTGGCCAGGCAAGGAGAGAGAAAGATTTGGAAAAGCAGCTCCTCTGATGGTGTGGGTTTTTTGGAGTGGGTGTAAGGAGGAGAGACTATATTTCCCATGGCAGATGTGGGAAGTGATGATGTGGCAGTGGGGGCTGGGCAGAGGAGTGCACCAAAGGATAGGAACCGCCCAGTTGTGAGATCAGGACATCTGGCCGCCCACACCCCATTTTCAGGGAGGAAAGGAGGGAATCCCTTGTGCATCCACAACCAAACTCAGCAGTTTGGCATCCCATCCTATCTGGTGACATTTAGCTAGGCCACAGTTAATGAATGAGAGAAGGGAATTGTACTCATAACAGAAGTTAGTGGACTGAGGGCTGCTTGGAGGATCAGGCCAGGGTATGCATATCGAGGCCGTTGCTCTAGAACACCATGCATCCTGGGTGAAGCTGTGATTGTTACAGAGCAATGATTTGGATTTTCTTTTTTCCTTGAAGTACTGGAGATTGAACCCAGGGGTGCTTTACCAGCAAGCTGCATCACCATCTCCAGCCCTTTTTATTTTGAGTTATGTTCTCCCTAAATTGCTGAGACTGGCCTCCAGTTTGCAATCCTCCTGCCTCAGCTTCCCATGTTTCAGGGATTACAGGTTTGTACCATTGCTCCCAGAATCATGTTCTGTTTTCAGACAAGTTCTCACTAAATTGTCCCGGCATTTACATAAGGATCAAACTTTGCTCCTTTTGCCTTTTGCCTCCCTAGTCCCTGGGATTACAAACTTGTACCACTGCACCCAGCTGGATAATTTTTCGAGTTACTTTAGAATTCAGAAAGGAGATAGAATGAAGATAAATGTTTTCTGGATTTTTTTTTTTTTTTTTTTTTTGTACCAGGGATTTAACCCAGGAGTGCCCCAGCCCTTTATTTATTTATTTATTTTAAATATTTATTTATTATTATTTTTTTTAGTTTTCAACGGACACAACATCTTTGCTTGTATGTGGTGCTGAGGATCGAACCCGGGCCGCACACATGTCAGGCGAGCGCGCTATCGCTTGAGCCACACCCCCAGCCCCCTTTATTTTTTATTTAGAGACAGGGTCTCACTAGGTTGCTTACAGCCTTGATAAATTCCTGAGGCTGGCTTGGAATTTGTAATCCTCCTGTCTCAGCCTCCCGAGCCTCTGGGATTACAGGGAAGCTCCACCACTCCTGCCACCATGCCCTGCCACCATGCCCGGCTTCAAACCTGCTCTGAATTCTTTGGGATAGGGCTGGGAAGCATTTAAGGAATTATTTGGCTCATGGGCACTAAACGGGAGGCCAGCAGCACAAGACTGTAATCAGAGCAGATGGGGAGGCTGAGACAGGAGAACCGCAAGTTCAAAGCCAGCCTTAGCAATTTGAGGAGTCCCTAAGCAATTTAGCAAGACCCTGTCTCAAAATAAAAAATGAAAAGGGCTAGGGATGTAGCTTAATAGTAAAGTGCCCTGGGTTCAATTCCCAGTACCCCCCCAAAAACAAAACAAAACAAAAAAACGGAAAGACACACATTTGCTAAAAGGAAAAGTAGTGAGGACAGCAGACTGGAATGAGGGCTTCCTAGCCTCTGACCCCCAAATCCTAACCTGATCTTTAACTCCTTCCTTCCTGGGTTCAAGGTAAATTGAGGCTACCTTGCTCTAGAAGAACCCCAAATCTTTGTCCAGAAATGCTCCCAGCTTGGGGCTCTGGTCCCTTTCACCCTCTAAGCCTAGCAACCCTGGGGGAGTGTGGCTGCTGCCCCTGTCCTCCAAAAGGCTGAGTTTGGGTGGTAGTTGTTGTTGCTTTGGTCGCTGAGCCCAAATCAGGAAGAGTATTTTGGGGGTATGAAGAAAATCTCAGCAGCCTGCTCTTCCCTTCATTCAAGTAAAATAAAGTAAAATAAAGGTCAAAGTAAAAAAGGTGAGGTGGTGGCATATATTGGACAAAGAATAGCAAGAGGGGAGGGGATTTATTGCTAAGCAACAGCCTTGCAGATGAGCCGCGGTGTGTGCTGTTTTTTGGAACCATACCATTGTGAATATTTCATCATTCTGTCATTATGGACCTTTTGTCATCTTCTTCATTGTGGAGCTTGGGAAGCTGGAGCCCCCAAAGGGGAAGTCACTTGCCTATTGTCTCTCGAGTGATTAGAGAGTTGAAACTGGGACTAGAACCCAAGTATATTCTTCCTCCGCTACATTCACTGCTCCCACCCGCTCCTCCTGTTCCTGGGCTCTGCACCAGAAACCAGGGTGGAGGGTGGCCCTGGCCTAGGGTTGGTTCTGCATCCTTTATTCTCTGAGAGCGAGAGTTCTGCTGTCCCCACACCAGAATTGCTGTGTGGATGTGTGGATGAGCACAATGCTAGGCAGCCTACAACACTGGTGGCTCTTAGCTGCTCAGCTTTCATGAGTACTGAATTAAGAGCAAGGTGTCACCT